GTTTTTTTACACCCCTCTGCGATGACGCCTTTCGCGGCCTCAAGAAGGTGATGCCTTGTGCGCCGGTTCTTCCCCTCCCCGGTTTTGATCGTCTCTTCATAGTCACCATGGATGCGTCAGATTTTGCCGTAGGAATTGTACTTTCTCAAGTGTTTCTCTCTCTTCCTGATTCACCTTATCCACATACCCCCCCCCCCACTGACGCTGCTTCTCGATTGACCTTTAATCTTCCACCATTTCCCTTCACTGACAGTCCACCCATCATTTACTTCCCGACTATCGCGGAGGATGGGACTGTTGAGAGTCGTGCTAGGGATTTCCCGACCGCTTTCTACTTCCGTCAGCTATTGCCTGCCGAGATAAACTACACTGCTGATGAACGTGAGGTTCTCGCAGAAGTTTATGCTACCCGGCATTGACGTCATTGTCTGCACGGGGTGTCATTCACGGTGTGCACAAACAACTCAGTTGTCCAGACTTTCCACACAAAGCCCAAACTTTCCCCTCGACAGGCACGCTGATGGCGTGATTTATCCGAGTTCCGTTTCAACACTCAACCTATCAAGGCTGAAACGACCCGCGTTGTTGATGCCTTGTCCCGCCATCCTGACCCCAATCAAGAATCCATTCACCTTGCTGCCATCTCAGTCACCACCGTTGATCAGTCGGTGATCGATGAGTATCGCATTCAATACCGCCACTATCCGGATCAATAGAAAAATTTCCCAGAATTAAATAATCATTCTAGAGTAAAATTACATTATAAATTTCAAATTTTCATTTCATCTTTAAAAATGTCATTCCAATTTTAAAATTTTCGATCTTACTTGAAATTTTTTCTTCCAAGAATGGGGTAGCCCTTCTTATTTGAAATGCATGCTAGAGATGGAATGAAAGTCTGGATGAGTTCATGAAATATTTTAATTGGACTGTCATTCTAAATAAGGATTTTCAGTCATAAATAGGTTAATCCAATTTAAATTAGAAGATATTTGTTGTAGTAGAATGAAAGTCTAATTAAAACATTTCATAAACTCGTCCAGACGTTCATTCCATCTTGAATAAATAGATGTAGTTGGAAGGGAAAACTCATATTTAGATGAAAACTTATCAAATTAAACTGAAAATTTTAGAATTGGACGAATATTGGAATGATAATTTATAAATACGAAGGAGTTTTTTTTTATGGTATGTTTTTTCAACTTTCATTTCTCGTGGGATTTTTTTTGTTGATTATCGTGTCATCCACGCGACACTACGAAGTGGCAAGACCATTCCTTTATATTTCCTTTGTGAGAACGGTCTCATGTACGAGTATTAAGTATTTGCATTTCCTCCACTCGATAGCTCCGTTTCCAGGCCGTAGCAGAGTACCATAACCAGGCAGTTGCCGGTCATCTGGGTTTCCACAAGACATTGACTCGTGTTTGCTGCCTATATGTCTGGTCGAAGTCCAAGGACGTAGTCAAAGCCTACGTCTAGGAGTATCCTACCTGCCAGGAGGTGAACAGTGTAAACAACCTTTAATTACCATTTCGTCAAAAAAATATATTTTTTATGTTTTGATCGAAATTGAAACTGAGTTTTTTTACCGAAAACTCGTTTAAATTTTCTAATAATGAGGGTCCAGCGTTTTCAAAATACCAGACCCTCAGGATTAGCAAATTTAGCGGAGTTTTCGACCAAATAACTCAGTTTCAATTTCGTTCAAAAAACAAAAAATTTTCATTTCGAGGAAATGACAGTTCTTCCGTATGAGTTACTTCAATCCTTACCCATATGTGAGGGTCGTTGGCAGTCCATCTCTGTGAATTTTGTTGGTCACCTCCGCCCACTCACTGAGCGTGGTCATGATGTTATCTTGGTCGTCGCCTACTATTTTTCTACTGACTCACACCTTCAGGTACTCCATCATTAGCGGCTTAAGGATGTCATCGTTTTGCGGCTCTGCTTCGACATCGACTCGAATCCTACTTCATCGACCACTTCAACGACTTCAGCTGCTTTATCGGCTTCATCTACTTTGGATGGATTACTTTACGCCACCACCCGACCTTGTGCATTCCCTTGTATGTGTTGCATGATGGTTCTCACTTAGCTGGTTCTCCCTAAGTTGGACTCTCCCTTGATCATATCGCATAGGCATTGAGACCGTAGTAGCGTTATCTTGGCTTCCCTGCTCCTAGATCTGACTTCCTCCCTTGTGTGCATGTTTCCCTCACCCACTACCGTCATCACCTTAGTGCCGGCCATTGCATGCCTTTAGTTAGGCATATGTCCACGCTAATCCAAGCTCCCCTTTCATGGCCGACCCTGCCATAGTGTCACCCTTTTGTCGAGCATTACCCGCCTTGATGGTCTATCTATTAGGGTCTTTCAAGTTGGTTTTGCTTTGCTACCACTCCCTCACCCTAAGCGTGATGACCTACCCCACCTTTTTGTGTCACTACCTGTAGGAGTTTGGGTTCTTAAGCCACATTCACCCTCTCTGAGATCATCCTACTCTTAGTGCTTCAAGTAAATGACTTACCTTGTGACATATTGCTATCTTTTTCCTTTCAGTACTGAGGCACTTGCCTCTAGGACTTCAGGATTCTACCATGGTACATTTCATTTTCTGCTATTAGTTATGATGTGGATATCAAACATTTCCTTTTCTTTATTACATTATGTAGCTTACACTGCATCACATGGACTCCGTGTCCTAGATTTATCAGTTTTCCTTATTGCAGAGTTCCGCTGCTTTTGTGGATAGCGTGTTTACGACTCTTGCGATTCATTACAGGTCTGAGGATCGTGCAACGGACCTCTATCTGCCCTGCCCTACAACCAGGGCCTATCATGCAATTTTCTTGTTCGGCCTGTGGAACCAGGTCATAGCCTTACCCCACAGGCTGTGTACTCACTCAGTCTAGTCCAGTCCTTCCCGGTACCACTGTCGGTACCACGTCAATCCAGTATAGTCTAGTTAGTCCGTTGGGGGTATACCCCAACTGCAATATGTTTCAACCTCATTCTTCATTTTGCACACTTGGGAGTACATGCGTGTTGAGTCTGCGTCGGAGTTGCGTTGTCCCTTCCAGCTCCATCTTCATCCCCATTATCGTCACCCCTTCGTCTTCATCCTGACGGACCACCATCCCGGCGGGTCCGTCACATTGTCGGGGCCAACTCTCTATTGGCAGCTCAGCACGATTTTTATCAAATTCGACCTGAGGTGGTCGGGTTTTATTTCGATCTTATGTTATTGGATGTATCTTATGATGATTTAAATTTTTTGAATTATCATTTCAAATTGGATATACATTCCTATCAATTACGGTCGATTCCTCTTGATAAATTCAGTGCGGTTATTATCGCTTTCTTTCACCACAGTCTAAGGGACTAAGGTTGAGTTATGGGTCTCACGTTTGGTCGAGATCGTCTTAGTCGATCAACGTACACTTCGTACTTAGGCGATCAGCGCCCTAAGGAACGAACGACGTTCGGGTTTATTTGGAGTTTCCTATACTGCAACGAATGAGCAAAGACCCTCGACTGACCTCCCTCTGCAATTGCATCTAAAAAATTTTGCACATGGGTCAGTAGCTCCGTTGGGATACGCCCCTAATGGTGGTTACAACCCCTTAGGGAAGGTAATTTGTGCCCCACTGAAACCTATCCTATCGTAGGGAACCGTGGGAAGTGCGGTTGGTGCACCCAGCTAGAGTGACGAAAGGACGACGTGATCGCGTCGGCCGAGGCAGTTCGTGGGGTTATGTTGCGTTGACTCGGAGTTTTCTCTCATTTTGTTTTGTCCAACTCCTACGTGACAGGGTTGTCGCCTTTGCGGAAAAAGGCTGGAGCCGATGCGCTCAAGACTGTAACTGTCGATGGTGAATGGTGTGTTGGGGTCAGCGCCATTGATCTTATGGAGAGCAATGGTTTCAGCTGACATCTTTGAGTTGACACTTTTTGTCCATCTGATTATGCGCCTCCGATATCAAACTTTCTCTACTTGTACTCGCCTTGCTGGGCACTGACGGATGGCGAGACGTGTTCGGAGTGATTTTGGGCTGATGTCACCCCAAATGCCTGGCAAAGTGGCTATAGTCGAAATCTCTATAAAGGTCCTGTTATTTTTTTCATACTGTAGGAAATGGGCTTTTGTCGTGTTATTCTACAACTTCCTATTAGTTGAGAGAGAGAACGTCTTTGAAATAACAAATTTGTGTCTTGACTACACCCCCCAATGACTACAACCACTTTTGTCAAAAGGTTCTGAAGGTGGCATTTCTTGCTTTGTAATAGCTGTTCATAGAATATTAGAAAATGACCTTCTTGAATTTGGCTATGTTGGATAAAGAATCTTGCATTCTTATTGAATATGTTGAGTGAACCATCTCCCATAAGACAATCCTAGAATAATTGCTTCAAAATTTAAATGTTTGTAAGCTATGCTACCAGAGTGGCCCGGGGTCACTTGCCCGGCCGGGCCAAAAAAAAAAAAAAAGAAGCTATTTTTTAATTTTATTTTTTATTCTAAATTAGGTGAAGAATTTTGATGTGATCCTGAGGCAAAAGTTGTTCAGTTTATTTTTCTGCATAACATAGTTTTTTTTTCAGATTTTTTGGATTTTTTTTGCTCTTTGTTTTCTTTTGCTGGGACCTTCCCTGGTCCTTGAACGGGCTGGCCACCCGGAACCCGGGCGGCCCGGCTGGTAGCCTAGTTTATAAGACATATTGCTGACGCACTTGTTAAAACTGCTTCCGTATATTTCATCTGCTTCTTTTCATAGTCTCTAAGGGATAGTCTTGCTAACTCTTATTATCAAATCAGCAAAAGGACTTCCCTTTGGGATAGATCCATCCAGCTCGCTCGGCGTAGTCGCCCATTTTGAAAAGCTCCTGCACCGTATCTTTCTCTCACTGCGAGTGTCTAACAGCGGGGCCATAGTTAAAATATCTACAGAGGTCCTATTATTCTGTTCGTTTTCACAGGACTTTTCCTCTTAGCTGCAAATTCTCCAGAGTGGGTCGCTCTGCTTGCACCAATTTTGAAACTCCATTACGTTCCCTGCCCCTGGATCTTTCCTTTGCTTGTCGTCCCGTACTCGTTCATATCCAGAGCTCGGCTTTTCAGATGCGCACCATCGTTATCCTCGATTTGTTTGAACCCTTCGATTGCCACCTCACTGCCATAAAAGAGGACGACAGATTCTGCAAAACCCTGCATTTCTGTGCATTTCTGTCCCTCATGTAAGGTTTCCTCCAGAGCACCCTCTGCCTTTGTCGGCCTCCTTTTCCTCGATGCTCCTTCCCCCCTTGACTCCCTCACCTGCTAATTTATCGTATTTGCGGTCCCAAAGTGCAATGAGCCAACCTTATTTCCCAAATGGCAAATACTCAAGTATTGCTTCCTTTTTATCATGTCAGCTTTCGCGGTCCAAGTCCGTCGATTTTAGGCTCCTTCCGTTTCGATTTTGTAATCTCACTTTAGCTATTGCTGACAAGAGTTTGCTTCTCACCTGTGTGTTTTGCTGAGTATTGTGCATGTTTGCAGGAGTCTATGCCCTTGAATCATGCGTGTACCTAATTTTCTGATGTTCACCGTACTCACATGCTAGTCGTTAGCTATTGCTGACAAGAGTTTGCTTCTCACCTCGTTAGTATTGTGCATGTTGCTGTCCTTGGGCTGCCTCCCTGATGAGTCAATGGCATGGAGTACACGTTACGTGTACTGGAGCGACATTTGCTGTGCTCTTGCACATACTCCTACACACACACACACACACACACACACACACACACACACACACACAGAGTGTGCGCAGGACTGCACGAATTGTGAAATAGATTTCAAATTTCAAATAGACAACATGAAAACTTCAACCCGCCGGCGGGCAGTGAATGCCTCCAACAACCAGTTCTCCGTGCCGCGCTGAAGTTCACCCAAGATTGCAAGTACAGGCCCTTCAGGGCCGGTCCGGTTGGCCCAACGGTCCACCAAAAACTGCGCCACCAAATTTTGGGGGTCCACCAGGCACTGGAAAATCCCCTGGGCAGTCATGTGGGGACCCCAATTTTATTTTTTTCCCCCTCAAAACGGGGCCCAACCGGACCCCCCAAACCGGACACTGGACCCAAACATCCAGACCCAACAGTCTGAATCCGGATTCCGACATCCAGTTAACGACGATGAGATACAGTGATACACACAATATTGGCTAACGCTACTCATCATTGACGATATAGAGTACAGGGTTGGCTGGTGAGAGTCCAGGGCATGTTATCATAGTGTTCCGCAGAGTAGATGTGGTCTGTAAATTCTTCCCAGATACACTGTTATGCTGTCCAACAAACTGAAATTTGGAGTTGGTGCATAGGAGGAGATGTGGAGCGAGAGGGTTAACGCATTCTTTACTTATTGTTTTTTCAACTTTTTTCTCCTCCTCTCACTCTTCATTTGTTGCTGCAATTTTGAGTTGCAAAACATGCTTCAACTCGTACACTGAACTTGGAGGATCATGCACCTTCCTTGCCTGCTCCCTTCTCGACACTCTGTGTCTTCACAATAGCAGCCCTGAATTTGGCGGAGTTTTCACAGACCATCACTCCATCACATTTTTCTCCCCAAATAATCCAAGTCTCTCTCTCCCTTAATTTTCTTCTACCTGATGGTTTTGGATAGGGCACCCACGAACCACCACTTCAGCAACTAATTCCTCCTCTTCCCSCCCCCCCCCCCTCCTCTCCCCCCGCCCCCTAAGCACAATCGATGTAACGTTCTTCTACAAGATTGTTCTGCATAAGGCGCCCACAAAGGACCAATTCATCAAACACCATGTTGACGTCCCTCTTGGTCAAATACCCCAAAAGGCTTGATGTGCCTGCAGCTTGGATGAGTTACTTATGTGAATGAGGGGTTCGCAAGACACCACACAATTACGAATGTATACTCGCATAGCGAGAGGAATGGAGCATAATGCACACATTCTAGTACAAGTACAACGCACATGTCTGAGTACAAGTACAACACACATGTTCGAGTACAAGTACAACGCACATGTTCGAGTACGAGTACAACGCACATGTTCGAGTACAAGTACAACGCACATGTTCGAGTACAAGTACAACGCACATGTTCGAATACAAGTACATGCGGTGAGAGACTATGTACTTGTATTCGAACATGTGCGTTACTTGTATTCGAACATGTGCGTTACTTGTATTCGAACATGTGCGTTACTTGTATTCGAACATGTGCATTCAAGATGGGGGGCAAGGACTAAATGCTGCAGTGGCGAGAGAGGATGGGGTAGACAGGAAGAGCTGGGAGGAGCAAGAAGCAAGTGGCATAGTGAAGAAAACAGAAGCAACTGGCATAGTGAAGAAAACAGAAGCAAGTAGCATAGTGAAGAAAACAGAAGCAAGTGGCATAGTGAAGAAAACACCAATTAGCGTTTTGCGAGACAAAGGAGGAGGGAGACTGCAGAAAGCTAGGAAGCAGGTGGATTGTGGGGAAGCAATAGAGGAAGGTAGGGAGGTTGGCAACAAAGTGGGAGAATGTGGAACCTAGAGTGGTAGATAAAGGCGCATCCGGACGCGGGGAGTCGGGGACACGACTTTTTTTCAACGCACAGATGGAAACAGATGAAGGGTGAAATGGGACATCTCTGTAGGTGGAATAAGGGCCATCCAAAACAACAAGCAATACATTTCCTAACAAAAAAATGAGGACTACACTGCCCCGGAGACAAGCCCATTGTTTCCGCACTCCCGCTGAAAATCTGACCACTGGACTCTCGGATGCTTTCCCTTCTTATTCTTCTTCTTCTTCTTCTTTTCCCCCATTTTCCCTGTCCCCTGTTTGCTTCCTCTCGCTTCCCGCCTTCCTGTTTTGATGATATAACCACCGGGTTTTTGCCTTTTCACCTTCTTTGTGCTTTGATCCTTTTCATTAGCATTCTCCTTGTTTTCGTCTATGTCATTTGTCAGTAAAACGGCAGCCACCGGTCTTTTCGGGCTTGACAGGTCACGCTCTTTCTGTTCAATACGCTTGAGGGACCGAATGACATCAACAGTCATAAGTGTACCATCATACACGGCAACTGGAGGCTTTCGTGGAAGTGGGTCATCGCGGAGTTCTAGTTCCCTACACCTGGGAGAATTCTTGAGCCACATGCTAACGGCACGACCATTTCCAATCAGGACACCCTCTCGTGTATCGGACGGAGAAAATGGCGAACGCATGTCCCATAGTTTTGACATCACCGTTCTCTGGACTGAAACCTCATTCTGTTGTCTCCCTGACCCAGTGACCAGGTACACTTTCTTCGGGCATTCTGGTTCGCCATCCAAGGCTGCTTCCTGCACATGGGCATTCAAAATAGACAGGTTATGATTCAGCAGAGTGCGCATAAAGCGTTGAGCACTGTGATAGCGCTTCTGTATGAGCATGCGACGAAGTGAGGACAACACACTGCTGACCTCCCCCAAACATAACCAACCCTGATTATGAACGTATACAAGGAAAGTTTCTGGCACAATACAGTCAATAATGAGGGTGCGTTGTGTTCGGGGAAAGACGGGAACAACCATCCAAACATAATGCATGGTCATTATAGACGCATGGTCATTACAGATGGATGCATGGTCATTATAGATGGATATGGGCCAATTTTTGGGCCAGATGCAGCTATCATGGCTATAAACATTATGCATGGTCATTATAGATGCATGGTCTTTTTTTTTATTATTATTATTTTTTTTAATACCACGCTGCCATGCTAGGAGGGGTGATATGAGCACCCCCACCCCTCCTAGCGGGCCGCCTGGTTGCTCCAATCTATTGGTGGGGAGCAGCACCTGCTGGAAAATGGGTCCAGCGTCCCACTGAACATCTCAAGCCTGAATTTCACTGTGTCACCTGCCAGCATTGATTGACTCTCCTTTCTACGAGTTCAACAATAATCCATTGGATTCTTCCCCCTACCATGTGTCTCTAAAACCCCTGCTCTCAGCTGATTCTTGTTCTCCTCCTAGCTGAAGTCTCTAGTCCCCGCTAGGTTTCGCCATTATAGCTAGCTTCCCTACTAGAGTTACCTTTCCCAGCAGAGCTAGCTCGAGTTCTTCCAAGCATCCCAACTGGCACCTTCTATTGTTGACTTTCCTTTAGTGATTTTTCTTTTTTCTTTTGAATATATTCAGCCTCCTGATGAGTCGGTGAAACTCCGACGAAACAGTTCGTCACAGCCCCTCGTTTGTTGTCCTCTTCTCCCTCTCTGCCTACGGTTTACCGGGCAGTTCTATTTGACGATATATATCGTCAAATAGAACTGCCCG